AAGTGATAGTCAGGGAACAGATACTCATGAAAATCTTCTCTAGTCCTATCTAGGTGTCGTTTGTTTTCCTAATAGTAAAATTCATTTTGTCACTTTGACAAGAATTTCCATTTTTCCATTGAGGTAGCAGACAGAGGGACATAAAATGATCATTAGTAACATTTTTTGAATAAGGAAGTGTGTGTTTGAATCTTAGCTCCCCCATTTACTTTTATGCCTGTGATTGGCTTCTGTTATTGTGATTTGGTGTCCTCAACCATAGAATAGGAATAGTAATAGTACATATTATCATTTAATTATTTGAGGAATAAATAAGTTGTTGACCTCCATAAAGTTTGAGAACCCTGACTTTTGATAAATGCTTTAATTATGATTATAAACCACTGTTGATTTCTGTGGAAGTTCAGTGGTTTTTAGGAGGAATGGTGAGTTTCTGTTTTAAGTTGGCAATTTCCTTAGGGAATAAGATCCAGTTGTATTTATAATCCCACCAGTAAAAAGAGGCCATTTCTACTAAGGCTTGCCTACATCTGTTCACACCCGCATGAATTAGCTGTTCTTCTTACTGCTCTGTTCTCTCCCCAAAGGAAATAAGCTCTTGACTGACTCCTAGGTGGCTGCAGTAGAGGCCCTATCCCCTCTCTGGAAAGTAACGAGTATCTTAATGCAGTGGTGCCTGATATGCCCAACTAATGACTTGTGTTTTGCATCCAAGTTCTAGCATTGTAACTGTTAGCTTTACAGACTTGGTTAGGGTAAATTACTTAATCTTTCTGTGCTTCAGTATTCTAGTCCTACAATGGGAATAATACCTACCTCATGGAGTTGCTGTAATGATCAAATACAATAATATATTCAAAGTCTCAAGAAATTCTTCTTATATTTAGTTATGTACTACATAATGTTTTTTGCCAATAATGTAATATATACAGTATAGTATTACATATATAATATATGCTGTTGATTTATATGTGTATATATGTATGCACATATTTACATCCTCAGTATGTAATAGGGTATACCAGCTATACCATATAAATTTGTATAAATGCATTCTATGATGTTTTCCACAATTAAATCACCCAATAATGAATTCTCATAATGTGTCCATGTTGTTAAATGAGGCATAACTATATATTATGTTTAGGAAACAGAAAATATAATTATGAATTATAGTCATGACATCTACAAGATGAGGATTATTTTTGTTCTGTGGATTATCAGCGACTCAAAACTCTATAGTAGTATTATGATTATTACATCATGTAAGGAAAATCTTTGTCCTGTGTATAATCAGTGACTTACCAAAAAAATAAATCAAGTACCTAATTCTGGTAAATTATTGAATAATAATAATAATTGATTTTATAGATTGAAAAATATTCATAAACTAGCTCACTTATTTTTAAATTGATGAACTAAAACTACTTAAGGTTTAGGGGACCAGAGCAATATTACAGTGGTAGGGCATTTGCCTTGCACATAGGCCACCTGGGTTCAATCCCTGACATCTCATATGGTATACCTAGAAGACCAGGAGTGATCCATGAATGAAGAATCAGGAAAAAGCCCTTAGCACTGTCAGATATAACTCCAAAACAAGGAGAAAACACAAAAAGACTACTCAAGTTTTAAAAACAGGTATAAAGAGAATGAAATTGCAGAAAGAACTCCAATGCCTATTTAACCAACTAGTCCTCCTATTACCTATCTACTGCCTCTCTCCCAGGTACTTAGCTCATTCCATCCTACAAAGAAGGAGGGAATTTTAGTTTATCTTTTGGTTCTCTTTAAACTATGGGCTACATTCCACATTTAAATTCTATGACCAGCACATTCAGACATGAAGAGACTTGTAATGGTTTTCTGTTGAGTTACTATTTCAGTCTAAAAGGGAGTCTGTTTTTTCAAATATTTTGCTTTGGGGGTCTTAACTATTGTGTCACACTCAATGAATGATATGCTTCTTTTTTGTAGATTAGGTACTCCATAAGGGGGACAAGCAGATTGAAAACATTGATGTATACATTGGAATGGACATTTATAAAAGAGATTTTATATATGGAAACAAACTTGAAATAGTATAGGTATTAAAAATTGTCAGGTGCTGAAATGAGGCGAGAGGTTTAGTGTGTTAACACAGGAACTAAGCTAGTTAATGTGAAATGTACAGAATATGAGTTCTTTCCTCCGTTACACTCTGGTTGTCCACTATAGTGATTACAAAAATAGTCTCTGGAGACTGGCTCTAGTGGGACCAAGATAGACTCAAATCTTGGTTCCACCATCTATTGGCAATATGTTTTTCACCAAGTAGTAGACTTATAGCTGACTCAGTTTGTTTACTTGGAAAATGGAAGCAGTGATGGGGATTATTTTTGAATAGGTTAAAGTAGATAATATATTAAAAATCCCAGGACAGTACCAGGCACATTAAAAGCCTTAAATATTTGTTCTTATTGCTGGTTCAACATTTTGACCAGGTTGGTGTTTAAGTTATTTTATTTAATCATGACTTCTGTTTTTTCTTAGTCTGTGATTCAGAAGTGATCTTGAGGACTAATCTGTGAATTAGAAACCATATTGTTTCTTAGAATCACTCTAATTCTTGGATAGAAGGAGGAAATCTTTGAAAAATAACTCCCAATTATTTGTCATTTATAATTAATATTTAGCAAATATTTTCAGGGCAGTCTGCTATCTTTCTGGCACTGTCATGGTGCCTAGAAAGATACACAAGTTGGTGATCTGGAGTGCTCTTATGTAAACAGCTATGTATCACCAACACTCTCACTGTCACTGTTCTCCCATTGTTCATCGATTTTCTCGAGTGGGCCCAAAAACATCTTCATTGTAACACTTGTTACTGTGTTTGGCATATCAAATACGTCACAGGTAGCTTGCTGGGCTTTGCTGTTCGAGCGAGATACTCTTGGTAGCTTGCCGGGCCCTCTGAGAGAAGCGGAGGAATCAAACCCAGGTTGGCCGGGCAATAGAAATATAGAAATGTATTATTAGTAAGGTATTAAGTTTGTCACTGTGTAAACATCCTGGACTATGAAAACATAAACCTAAATGACACCTAGATGATGGACTATGGAGACTGCAATTGTATCTTTATGCTGTCTTCTAACATTGATGGAGGGGTCACTAAGTGATTGTGCAGTTTAGGTAGAACAGTTTTCAGTTAAACAGGGTAATTCTGCCACAATATTGAAGACACATTTATTGGACAGAACAGAGAGTTCTTTTATAAAACATTGAGGGAGTTTGGAATCTGATTTAAGGTCAAAGAAGGGCTCTCAAAGAAATGATATTAATACTGAGACCAAAATGATGAGCTCAATTCTTTACTAGTCTGCTTGGGGATGAAGAAGAATATTTTTTTTCTTTGATTTTTGGGTCACATCTGGCAATGCACAGGGATCACTCCTGGCTCTGCACTCAAGAATTACCCCTGACGATGCTCAGGGGACCATATGGGATGCTGGGAATTGAACCTGGGTTGGCGTGTGCAGATCAAATGCCCTACCCACTGTGCTATTGCTACAGCCCCTGAAGAATAATATTTCAAACACAGAGAATTTTAAAGTAAGAGTGTAGGTAGTAAGTATAGGGGGGAAGGAGATAGCAGGGGAAAATGCTTAATATGAGGAAAAACACTGGCATTTCTCACTGTATTCACTATTTACCGATGTTCATTATGTATTTATTGTTCAACAGGCATGGTTTTTACTTAATAACATTGTTTTTACCTAATAAACACCACTGAACAAAAACACATTGCATTTCTATAATCTTAGAAGTTATAGGGGAGAAGACACAAACAGACATGAAAAATGCTCTGAAGAGAGTTACCAACATAGTCTTGTCAGGGAAGTCTTTAGGAAGAGTGGAGTCAGGGTGAGACTTGAAAGTTGAGAGAATCCAGCCAGGTATAATCCACTGGGAAGGGAAGGCTCCAGGCCAAGCAAGACAAAGAGGTGGCAAGTTGCTAAGACTTAAAAAAAGTTCAGCGTGCTGATGTGTGAGAAAGAATTCAGGGGATTTGGGGTTCTCAGAAAGACATAAGAACACTTTTGGTATGAACTGGGAGTTGTTAGCCTCTCTAGCAGTGCTCTGGGTACCAGAGGGTTGCTTCCTGTGACACTGTCCAATAAGCAGAGCAATTCAGTGCTCAAACTGGCAATGCAACTCTGCTCAAGTCCAGAGGTGCGGGGGGGGGGGGGGGACACCAGGGCCACCCTAGTTCAGGGTGTTATACAGTGGCAGGGATAGAAATACTTTAGCTTTATCCTTAGGTATTTAAAGTAGATTTTGTCTTTAAAGAGAGACATAGAGCTGGGAAGTGGTAAAACACATGTTTTCATGTAGGAAGTCCTGGATTTGATCCCCTGGAAACAAATAGCTCTCCGGAGCTCTAGTTATCACGGCCCTGGTGGCTCTCCAGAACCCCTAAGGTGGGCACCACCTGCTGTCCCCGTTTTAAAATAATAATAAAACACAGATCATGATTGTCCCAAAACTATAAAGCTTTTGGAAAATTACAGTTCCAAGTATCTCTTCTGAAGTGGGATATGATTCTGTATGTTTTTTTTTAAATGAGATGAATCCAAGAGCATATGTCTGTCATGATTGGTTCAAACTGCACATAAAGCAGTTATATGGATAACTGTCCTGCTTCAAGTTATGAACAAGTGGATGCTGCAAGATCAGCATGACTGCCTGGCTCAATAGAGGGTTCATTATGTTGATTATGCATGTCCCAGTGGTTTTGCCTGGCTTCTAGCCATTCATTTTTAATTACCTTCATGAGTCTTCTTTTCCTGTTTCATTCCTTTGGACTTATGTGCGTGTTTCAGAAGTGCTTTAAATCCTTCCATTCAGTTTGGGTCTGCTTGGATCAGACAAATAACCTATGTTCTTCCCCTCCCCTGCTCCAGATTGTGTCATGCTATCATAGGCCATGCAAGACACTCATGACTCTTGTTTGCTTCCAGTTAACAGCTTTGGAGATGATGAAGAGCTGTCCACATCTTCTGACAGTGATGAGGAGGTGATCAAACAGTTTGAGATTTCTGTGTCTCGATCCCAGAGCTTCCGTTCTGGTGCATCTGAGAAAGGAAAACAAACAGGACTGGAGCGGAAACCCAAATTTAATCAGTTGCTTTCTGCCCACGAAGAGGATAATACAGAAGTGTCTGCCTGTGAAGGTATTCTTTTGTATCAAACCTTTCCTTTATCTAGACTAGTGATGATTAATGGTAAGAATGTTTTTGAGTCACTGCACTTGTCTCTGAGAGTTCAGAGAAGGAAAAAAAAAATGGGTCAGGACCTTGAGGCTCACAGAGGGCAGAAAGATTACTTCAAACTTTGCAGGGAGGAGGCACTGTCATGCTAGTAGTGTAGGAGATCATTCATTTTTCCATAATAAGGGGGAAGTTTATTCCTCTTTGATATATGATATCTTTTAAAATTTAAAATGGAATTATAATAACTACTTCAAAATATTAATGCATTTATTATTCAAAATGTTTATTCTTGGCATGGTCTGCAGACTTTTAATTCAACTTTTACCTTTAATTTTTTTATTGATTGAATCTGTTGTTTACAATACTATTAATAATGGTTTCTCATGGACATAATTCCAACACCGCACTTGTCACTCACCTTGCTCTCCCCCAAATCCCAACATCCCTCCCTCTTAAGTCCTACAAACCCCCCAACTCAATTGTGTGTATCAGTTCTCCTTTGGTCCTTAGTTGCTATCTTGCTGTGTATCTTTAAATAGAAGGGCCAGGTTTGTAGGATTTCTTCCTTCTTTGGAGATTTTGCCTTTGCATATTTAAGACACTAATGACTAGGATGGTATTTATTATGCTTCATAACTTCTTATTTCTTCTAATAAGCACAAAAATGTCATGTATCTTGCTACTGACATTGAAATTCTGTCTTGTCTTCCATTTGGAATGAGTATATTTTCTACCTATTATATAACCTTAGAAGATTTTTAGTCTTTTTAAATAGTTTATATCATTAAAGTATGTTTCACAAATAAAATACATATTAAATAATATTGATAACCTATTCCAAATTACACCCTTGCCACTTTCCCTCTAGTTTCTGAATACTGTTCTTCCCCTGCCTTGCATGAAAAATTGCTCGAGCTCAAGCAGGCCCAGTAACATCTCCATCGTGAGACTTGTTGTTACTGTGTTTCGCATATTGAATACGTCATGGGTAGCTTGCCAGGCTTTGCCGTGCGGATGAAAAACTCTCGATAGCTTGCCGTGCTCTCTGAGAGGGTTGGAGGAATCGAACCCGGCTCAGCTGGGCCAGCTGCTCACAAGGCAAACGCCCTACCACTGTGCTATCGCTCCAGCCATCATAAAAAAATTATTGGGCAAAATATAGGTCATATGTATCTTCTAGCCTTTTATTATGTTTACCTTTAATAAAGGTAAGAGAAAATACCCAGAGATGTAGTTGCTAAAGTTTATGACTTATGCCAAAGCCATTAACAGCACTGAAAATCACAATACCTAAAATGTAATTTAAAAAATTTAAAAGTTGTCTTCCTTTGCCACCATATACAAAATTTCCTCAGTAATATGGAGAGAAGATGCAAAAACAGAACACTATAATATTTCTTAGTTATTTTTTGAGCCAGTCTTTCTATATCTCCTTTTTTGCTCAGAACCCTGGATATGAGCAGTCTATTGAAACAAGGAAATTATCTGTAAAGTTTATTTAATAAATACCTATGTATAAAAAGTCAGGTCTGAGAGAACTGGTTTGAATGGGCAAAGTTTGCGAACCTCTTTCTTCTTTCTTTCTGGGAATGTAGCCAATCAGAGCAATAAGGGTACAGCTGTATTTTGTCCATGTTTGTCAACAATTAGTGCTAGAAAGAGAAAAGGGGGAGAAATAGAATGGAGAGAAAGTAACAGAAGAAATACTTGAATTGATTAAGTAAAGGAGGCAGGCATAAAAAGAGGAGGAAAACAATCTAGTTTTCTTTGGAGAACATAACCATTTGCTTTGTACCATGGAATTTTACTTGTTGATATGGGCCACCTTGATACTTTATTCTTATTATTTTTATTCCAAGGAAATTCAAATAGTGTCACTATTGACCCTGTGTTTGACCCTGTGTCATGTCCTCATCATGTCCTCACTCCTGCTTTTCTCTATCTCTGGTGTTCCATCATAGTTTTCCTTTCTCTCCACTGAAAGGACAATTGCTAGCTGATGAAAGTTAGTGGCAGCTGTTTATTTAGAAGTAGCTTGTACTGTTCTAAAGCCAATGGCCCCATTTCTTGGAGCTCAAGGGTCTAACTTCTGATAACTACTGTAACTCTTACTCTTGAAATTAGCAACAATTTCTGTCATAACTAGCAAACAGAATTTTTTGACAAATATTGATAGAAAAGGTAATTCTCCTCTTCTACTATAAACAGGAAGCCTCCACTATATTAAATATATTACCTTTAGCTTTTTGAAGAAAATAGCAGGATTTTTGTGGGAATGAATAATTGTATGCTAAATTTAATAAATGCCACTAAAATGTTAATGTTGTTTCTATTGCATGGTTTTTTTTGGTGTGATTTCTTTTTTGTTTGTCTTTGGATCAGTGACCTTGTTCTAGCAATAAAGAATAATGATGATATTAATTTTTTAGCCCAGAAAATATTTGGAATGGAATATCCATTGTTATTTTTTCATTTTACCCTTAACTGTGATTTCTTAGGTCAAATTCAACCATAGAAACTTCTTCACTTTAAAAATGCATTTAAGTTATTGTTGGACCAATGAAATAAGTACAAATCCATGAAGGAATCACTGGTACTATCTTATCTTTTGACTTGAGCAGAACCAAGACAATGCTACCTTTATTTCCCAATCATATTAATATCATCTATCTGATTTTGTGTTACTCTTTCCTAATTGTCACATTTCCCTTATTGTCAGAGAGAGCTTGGGTTTAGTTATTTGGATCAAAACCTACACATCAAATGTTTAGGTATGAAAGGTTGAAAGGTGGAAAGGTTGACAGCCATACCATGCAAAGGCCCATTTGTTGTTATTTTTATTTTTGATCAAATCTTAGTTTTTGCTTCTGAAATATTTTGTTTTTATTATTTTTTATGCAAACTAGACATTACCCTCCTGGCGCCATTAAAAACTGTTATTATTTCCAGAAACTGTGCTTAGTTTTGCTTGGGACAGAGTATCAATCAGGGTTCAACTGGGACCAAAAAAAGACTCATTAGGATGGAGAAATTTCTTGGTTCTCTGTTTAAGATCTGTCAATAGATGGATCATGTAGGATAATCTCCTTTACTTAAAATCTACTGCCTAAGGGCTCTAATCACAAATACAAAACAACAGCAACACCTAGATTAGTGTGTGATTGAACAATTAGGAACTAAGTCTAGTCCAGTTGACACAATATTTATGATTATAGATAGTATCATTGGTGTGACATAATTATGTCCTGTAATGTTTAAAATGGCAGGATATATTTCTCTGTCAACAGGCAATTACTTTTCTGTATGTGTTTAAGGTGACACGAATTTCTCTAAACTAGCATGGGAAGATGACTTTATGTAATGGTGAATCACCTTTCCTTTTCCTCCTCCTTGCAACTTGACTTGTACCCCAGATTGGCTTTTCTTATTCATTCCTCACTTGTCTGTCAAGGAAAATGGTTTGTTACATTAATATAGTTCTCATGTTTTTCAGTTATGAATAGCTTTTCAAGGCTTAATGTAGCTTTTGAAAATTCCCTTATTACTGATCTAGGTATTATCACCGTAGGAGTTAAAGTCATAAGACAATTTTATGGGTGTAATTTCTTGGCAAAGTTAGACTTTGTGCTGAGATCCTGCTGGGTGCTACACATATTGACGGATGACCTACTGTTTAATAGGACATTTTAGTGTTCGTGTGTATGAGGAATGGATGCTCTAATTAGAGCCTTAGAAGAAAATTCTGCTTTATGTTGTAGAATTTTGCATATGGAATATCCATTGGTCTGTCATTTTCCGTGACCCTTTGAATGTGTGTTAGCCTAATAACTAAAAATATGAGTGTAAAAATTTTTGTGGTGTCTTATGAAAGTGTTTTCAAAGGGTGTCAATTATAAGAGTAATAAGGTAGTTAGGGGAACTTCTCAGTGGCTTGTTTTAGTTTTTCAAAAACCCCAAATTAGGAGTCTTAAGTTCTATCCTGAGTATCACATTGTCTGAATATGAATTTATATATTCTATTATATATGGCTACAGAATTTTTAAGCTTGTGTTTAATTTAGGTGGAACACTGTCTGGGAAAACCCTGACCCCATTGCTTCATGTTGCAACAACTTGGCTGCTTCAAACATTTGTTACCTGATTAACCTTTAAACTTATTGAAGGGTTTAGTAAATCTCTGGTCAATCAAGGGCTGCAGTAGATGTACAAGGCCATGTGCCTGCCAGAAGCTTAGGTTCAAGCTAAGGCTTTAAGAATAATTAATGGTAGAAACAGTTGCTACCAAACAGTAAGTAAGGCAGAGCTGAACCTATGGTATCTATTTTGTAATCCCATGTACTCCTGCAGTCTATTTCTCTAATTTTCTCTTACCTTAGAATCAGGGTTTCTTGAGGAGACTGGAGTCCATAGAAGATACCATTGGCTACCTTTGAGTGTGGGAAGCAAGTCAGGGTGAAAGCCATTGCTTACAAAGACCCTGTTTTGTTTTTGTCGTCCATGGTCTGAAGGTATTTTAGACATTCAGGGAGAATAAAGTGAGGGGGTATGTAAAAATAAAAACACTGAGTTATAAGGAAGTTTCAGAAGTTGATAGGTCATTGAGTGGACAAGAAGCAAAAATAGGATGGAAGGTATAAGGATCACTATGACCAGATATGCACATCTAATGTTTTCATGAATCAGACTACAGGTGGCAGCTAATTGAAGGCAGTAGAAAATAAGTTTTGCCGAATTGGATGAATTCAGATAGGTAGCCATGGCTAATATATATAAAAGACTGGTGACAGCTGTCAGGTGGATATTATTCATGCATTCAAAATGACTTTCTGAAACAAAGGTTCAGTTTAATGCTGTTAATGTTCTTTTATGCAGAGTTAAGGATTTAAGCCTACAACATGCATGAGTCCAAGTGTCCAGAGTTGTTATTGTGAATTATGTCCAGATTTTATTTACATGGGAGGACCACTGAAGTTTTAGAGTAAGAGGTAGTATGTACACTGTAAACATGGGAAAGAGAATGGAAGAATCCGGAGACCATACAATGTGCATAGAAGGTTGCAATTCTTGCCTTCTAGAGAAATCCCCAAAGTCTCATGTTCATTAACAAAATACTAAAGTGTTCACTTTATGCCTCTAACATAAACATACATTTCTTTTGCTCATATACTTAGAAAGTAGTGAAACCTTCTTGTGTGACAAAAAGAACTAGTGATTGTTTTAAAACTCATGGATTGAGTTTGTATTCTATATCTTAGAAATTATGTTTCTGCAGGTGTCATTTGATATATTTTATTTTTTTATTATTTGGGGGCTCCCAAGTGCTGCTTGAGAGACTCAGGGACCCCTCCCAGTGATTATCAGCTAAGCAAGCTGGTAATTAATGACAGTTATTGGGATGTCATGTCCCTTCGGCCTGTAGTGTCAGGGATTACCCAAGCCCATACTGGCAGTGCTTGTGAACCTCTAGGTCTACACCTACTGATATTCAATGGACCAGGTGGTTCTGGGTATTGAAGAAGGGTTGGACACATTCAAGGCATATGCCTTAACCTCCAAACTCTTTCACTCACTGGGCTTTATTCTGTGAGGTCTTGATTAGAATGGTGGCTACTACTTGATTTATCTAGGTCACTGTCACTGTCACTGTCACTGTCCTACCATTGTTCATCGATTTGCTCGGGCGGGCCCAGTAACGTGTAAAATATATATATATATATATATATATATATATATATATATATACATTTATGTGGGCTGGAGAGATAGCACAGTGGGTAAGGCATTTGCTTTGCACGTGGCTGACCCGGGTTCGATTCCCAGCATCCCATATAGTTCCCCGAGCACTGCCAGGAGTAATTCCTGAGTGCAGAGCCAGGAGTAGCCCCTGTGCATGGCTGGGTGTGGCCCAAAAAGCATAAATAAATAAATAAATAAAAATATACATTTGAAGTAGTTTGTTTATTACAGATTTAGATGTGGATGAAGCCAGCCAACGAAATTATTCAGAGAATCTATCTTACGGTAAAGATGGTCCCATCTCTGTCCACTCACTCTACCCATGTGAGATGGGAGCTACCAGGCTCCACGGCACTTCTTCGCAAGAGACCCGTGTGGTCCGCAACCTCAGCCGCCAGTCCACAGAAGGCAGCTTGGAGACTGAGACAGCTTTTAATAATCGTGGATTTGAAGACTCCTATGCCACTGACAGCTCTTCTGTGTGGAGTCCAGAGGCAAGTTATTGGCTATCTGTTCTTTCCTTGTTTGGGTGGTCGGTGGTCCCTGGCTAGCTCTTTATTCCCTCCAACCTTATCTTCCCCTTCTCTCTCTTCCTCGAGAAATAAACTTCCGAAAAAGGAAGTACTGCTTTAATAAACAAAGGGCATTAATTTGGAAAGTGGGTTTGTTCCGATGACCAAGAGCTAGGTCCCTAAGTCTATCAAGAAGAAAGTCAAAAGTACATTTTTTCGTTTGGGGTAGTAGGGTGAAAAAATATGACAGCAGAATAAATCTAACGAGAATCAAGAATTTTAAAAAAATACAAAGGTATTTCTTTTTACTCCCCCTCGGGATTATTTTTCCCCTTATATTTTCATGTAGGGGATTTTTAGAAAAATTGGTTTATTTCCTTTATGATTTCAATTAAGCAAGCCTATTTTATTTACTCCCAAGTTGGAGTTATTATTTGAATGTTAGAATTATTTAAAAATAAAAGTGGGCTGCTACTCCAAATGAAGTGATACTTTATGACAAATATCTGGCAGCATGAGTATATTACTTCACTTTTTGCCTATTCCCTTCTTTTTTTCCCTGGTGATCAGGATTTGCACATCTGCTTGGCTGGAGTGCTCACTGGGGGATTGTATGCTGTGATACTCATGTGTTTTCTGGTTGGAGGGCTTGTCAGGTGTCACATGCTTTAGTTGCGATGCTCACCACACACAGGGTCACATACCTGGTTTGTTGTGCTCACTGCTTTAAATTGTGATTCTTGTCAGAGATTGAATACTCTTGAGGTTCTAGGGTCCCAATAAGCAGAACTACCAGAGCCATTCTCCATAGATATGATGGCTCTAGGGATCACACTCATGACCTCATGTTAGCAAAGCAGGTGCTTTTGCCACTGTGCCTTCCCCAGGCACCTGCTTGTTCAGTTTGCATTAAGTGGAAGGCATTACTCTGCAATAACCTACTGGACATTGACGGTTCTTTTTCTGTTGAAAGATGCCTCTTCTAAATTTATTGCTAGGTGCTAGGCACTGTAATATATTGTTTATAAACTTTATCTTATCATTCATGTGTTCATAGTTATTCTCCCTTAGCTATTTCCCTTTTTTATTATGTGTTGTTAGGAGCCACTTATACAACTTTTAAATTATTTTTGATGCAATAAGTCAGGAAATGATATGAAACTTTAATTGTTGGCGATTAAAGGGGAAAACAGGGAAATTATTTCATCTACATCTGTCTGAGGAAATTATCAGAATGAATTATCTATTATTAGTACCACAACTGCCATACACACTTACATTTTCATCAAGGAGGAAAAAACTCACCATATGCCTCCCTATACACACACTGAGGAGGGGTGTTACACATACATGTGCGGGTGTGTTGGTGTTTCTGGAGTCAGTAACTCAGGTTTTTTCTGGCTTGTTGAATGTAGCTCTACATAGGGAGGCACCCACTATATGTTTTTTGGAAAAAACACAACCAACACACACACACACACCCTCAATTTTTATTTCATTGATTTACTGCTAAGAGTCATATTAAATACCACACAAAAACATTCAAAGTTTAAAAATAGGCTTTTTGACTCTCCCACCATGAAAGCAAAACAGAACTGTTTCTCTACCCCTTGATTCTCTGAACTCTTGATAACTGTGCTTCAGGCATAGACTTACTTTATGCAGGTAACCTCCCATTTGCCTGCCACATGGAGTTTTAATAGAAGACTTGGTGTTGAGGGTACTAAATGTTCTGAGACTCCAAAAATACCCAGACATCTCTGTGTGCTCCATTCAACCTTATATCTATTTTGAGACAAAAACTGTAATTTTGCTCCTACGGTAGAACCTCAAATGCAGCTCGGAGGCAGTTCATGTAACTGTCTGCTTTGCAGGCTGAGTTCGCCTTTTAAGAATTGATTTGTTTGCCTCTTAGCAATATTAAGAACACTGTCTTCCCCCCGTGTATCTGGCACGGGGAACATATTTTGAGCCTGTTGACTTTGGGCCACACAGATGACACCAGCACCATCTTACTAAAACAGAAATTTTTACAATTTGACAGAAAATATTTATACTTACATGTTTTTTTGACAAGCTGGTGCATTCCTATCTTAAAGTAAGTCTTAGGGCACTGGAGTGAACAGTCATTTATTATACCTCACAAGAAAAATGTTTTACTGAAAGATTTTGAAGTGCTGCTCTTGTCTACTGGAAAAGGCCATTGATGCTCTCCTACAGACCCCAGGCTTGGCAGGGAGAACAGTGGGAGCATGTCTAGTGATTGAACACATAGGGAGGCAGATGTCCCACTTTTCATCTTTGCTTTCCACTGATTAACTGTTGGCCTTGAGAAGTTAATTAAAACCTGCCAAATGGGGATAAAAATGAAGAGATTTTTACCTTGCAGGAAGGTCAGATGGATTAGTGGTATTAGCAGTACCCACAAGAGGAGTGTCTGTAGTTGCCTAGTGATAGGTAAAGTGTGTTGAGATAATTAATTGCTATAAAAATACCAGTCTAGGCAAATCTTTGTTTCAAGTCAATCCAGGAGAGGCTCCTAAGTCCGATTTATATGGCACACATACAGAACCTTTCTGTTGTTTGATTCTGTGTCTTACTCAGGGTTCTTAGGAAAGTTATTTCAGAATTCTCCTCATGACTTTACCAGAAATGTGTTGGGGAGTCAACATTTATCTGAATAGGTAGTCAATAAGTGGAGAAAGATAAATAATGCTATTTTTACAATAGTGCTGAAGTTGATGACGAAATTTGGAATGTTAACTAATATTAAGAGAATGTCTGAAAGGATCTGAAAATCAAACAAATGTGTATCTTAAGATATATTTCTCTTTACATACAAGTGGTACTACATGGAAAGTATCATGTTAAGCGAAATGAGTCAGAAAGAGCGGGATAGACACAGAAAGATTGCATTCATCTGGGGAACATAAAGCAACAAAAAGGGAGACTAACACCCAGGAATGGCTGAGATTAGTACCAGGAATTTTGCTCCATGACTTGAAGGCCAGCCACACATGCTAGGTGAAAACGAAGCTCAGATAGAGAAGAGAGCACCGAATAAAGGGTGTTGGGAGGATCCTCCCAGGGTGGGAGAAGCATGCTAAAAGTAGTCTATAGACCAAACATGATTGCCACTCAATGCCTCTCTTGCAAACCACAGTACCCAAAAGAAGAGAGAGAGAACAAGGGGGAATGCCCTGCGACAGAGGCAGGGTGGGATGGGGGGATGGGGGGTGGGGGGATGCTGGGACCCGTGGTGTTGGAGGATGGGCACTGGTGGAAGGATGGGTACTTGATCATTGTATAACTGAAACCCAAGCACAAAAATTTATAAGTCTATAACTGTACCTCATGGTGTTTCACTAATAAAAAAATTTAAAAAAGTAAAAAAAAAGATAGATTTCTCATCTTATTTCTTCTTTTTGTCACACTCTTGGTTTGGTGAAAAGTTTGAGGGAGAGTCAGATATAAATTTAATGTAAGGTTTGGGACTTTACTGAAAAGAGGTAAGTCCTGGATAATCCTAGATAGATATCTGAGAAAGGAACATGTGGAACAAATGATTTATCCTTTCTAAATTATAGTTTTCTCTTCCATAAACTGAATATTATAATATACTTCCCCATTAGGTTGATGTGTATATTTTTCAATAAAATTTTCTTGGCTAGGCCCCTAAAAAAAGAGAATTATATAAAGACTTCTGTTCTATACTTTTTTTAGGAAGTGAAATTTGAGAGAACAAGAGTGAGGGACAAGGATTGGAAGGCAGGAAAGAAAGAAAAATTAGTGGTAAAGTGGAATAACCGAATTTGCTATTACTATATGTCTTATGACTTGTTCTAGAGGGACTATTTTCCAAGAAACTAACTTCTTGGGTAGAAAAATTGACTGCATGGGGCACTAACCCCACACATACTGTGCAATTTAAATGGTTGCCGACCAGGATTGTATATTTCTGTGTCTTGACATCAATGGACAGGCTTTTGGTGGGCAATGAAAGTCATATTGCATCACAGGGAGGTAAGACATTATTGAATTGTGCCAGTCTGAAGCCACTTAGAGCCTCGACAGGCTGTATCAGTAGGGGTGGATAACAAAAGAGGTTAGGCCAAGAAAGTATGAGGTGCATAGAAGTTGCATTTACAGTTAAAAAAGACTTAGTGTGATACCATACATAAAGTACTTAGTAGATGTTAGATTTTGTTACTTATGGTCCAGCAAGCAATGTAAAGGTGAACCAGGATAGACTAAAATAGATGGGAAGAGTGATTTGATTTTTAAGTTGGCCTAACTCCTTAGAGACTTGCTTCTAATATTATAGCTACACTAGTCAGTTGTATTCAAAAGTCTCTATAGCAACCACTTTTATCACTTGAAACTAAGAACCTCAGAATAGAAACACTCCCATGAATGCATGCTCAAAAGAAAGAATATAAGAAAAATCCCCTTATTTTAAAAGAAGCCTACATTTTCTTGGTAAACTAACTTGAAATCTTAAAAGAGACTGGCATTTATTACATTTCTACTATGTGTCAAGTCCTTTAATTTTCACAACAACCCTAGAAAGTAGGTATCACCACCACTTAATTATCGGGGAATACACACATAGAAAGGATTAAATAACTCTCCCGGTGTTATAGAGGTAGTAGGTGGTGGATTTGGAATTTTTTAGGATGTTTGAGGATGAAGATACTTTCACTCATACTCTGTGTGGGAGAGTTTCATTTATATGTAAATTTGAAGTATTTTATTTAATTTTTAAAAATAAAGAACTATTTAAAGAATCAAAGTTGGATCTTTAATTATATACATAAGAATGGACTCTGCTTTATAATAGAATCAGGCCGAATTTTAGTTATGGGTAAGAGTCAGTCCTTTAGAGGAAAAATCAAATTTATGTTGACATCATTTATAGTTTGTTGGAGGGGGCTTCATTATAGTAAATGCAGTTTATCTCAGTTTTCTTATTGAGGTCATCAGACTGGCTACATGTAAATTGCTGCCCAAGGGTGAAATTTAATAATGAAGGAATATGTATGTGAAAATAGGTAACGCAGGGATAGGAAAAGATATTTATAGGGTCTGTTCTGAGCCAAGAGCTTTTCACATATATTAAGACTATACAACACCACTCTGTCAAATAGACATCTTGGTGCTCATTTTTTTTTTTGAGCAAGAGCCATATATCCTATTCAGTCAGGCTTTAAAGTTAGTTAGTTATGGTTTCAACCTAGGTGTTCTGTCTTTCTGTTCACCTGCTATTTGATGAATAATTACAGGTGATGGCCTCCTAAATAATTGCTACTTGAAGTGTGAGTCTAAGGCCACCAGTGCCATGTTTTGGCAAACTTCTGAGAAATGCAGATTCTCAGGTTCTACCATAGTACTTCTGAATCAGAATCCTTAGATGATTCCAGTTCACACAGATATTTGAGCAGTTAAACATCTTGTCCTATGTTATTTAAAAATGCACTAAAGGATTTATGACTTCAGGGATTCTTGTCTGTGGGAAGTTCTGGTCCATGGAGCATGAGGTAAAAACACACACACGCACACTCACATTTTTTGGAGGTGTGCACTCAAGGAAAAAAATCACTTCTTGATAGTTGGCTTGATTTCAGGCTTAGTATCTCAGGTTTCACTGCAGTGCTTTTAACAACTAAAAAGCCCTGGGTTTTGAAGCTGCAGAAAAGTAAGTTATATCAACATAATGCAGTTGGGCATTATCATTCCCTTTCCTAATCTTTTTCTCTGCCTGCAACAGGAACATGATGGGACCACTTTTCAGGTGTCATCTAGGGTCCATGAGCCCATCTCAAAGTGTGGTGACCTAGATGTCATCTTCGAATATAGAGCTTTCAGCCAGAAGCTCACAGTGAACATTGTGAAAGCACAGGGTCTTCCAGATAAGGACCGAAGTGGCGTCAACTCCTGGCAAGTGCATGTAGTGTTGCTGCCCAATAAGAAACAGAGAGGCCGAACAAGCATACAGAGAGGGCCCAACCCTGTCTTCAAGGAGAAGGTCACCTTTGCTAAGCTGGAGCCCAGAGATGTGGCTGCCTGTGCTGTCCGATTCCGCCTCTATGCTGCCCGCAAGATGACCCGTGAGAGAATGATGGGAGAGAAGCTATTCTATCTCAGCCACCTGCACCCAGAAGGGGAAATGAAAGTGACTCTGGTTCTGGAGCCAAGATGTAATATCAGTGTGAGTATGTTAAATGGTACTGCTAATGATGTGGTGTGTTTGAGGATCTGGAATTGCCAGTCCTTGATTTAGTACATTCAGCTTGTGAATTCAACACTCACTTTAATTTCATTTTCCATTTGGCTCTCCTCCTCCTTATCAATCATGATTTCTACTTCATGGTACAATGAGTGTCTTATCTTTTGCCTGTCTTGCCCAGAACCTGAAGGATGTATTACTCTCCATTTTAGGAAATGACAGTAGTGATGTGGCAGAGGCAGGGAAAAAACAGGAGAGGTGACTTGGTCCTCTGGATAGTGGATTAGTTCCACAATTCTTACCTGTTCCCTCCAATAACACATTATGGTAAATATCAGAGATGGAGACATTTAAGATGAGGTTTTTCAGCAACAGCAGCCAAAAACTGCAACCACTTAGAAGTGGTATATTGGTCAGGTTCATTTCCCAGGTCTCTTTCTGTGTCCCCAGAGGTTACAGAGAAGACAGCATAGTCTGTATGTCTACAGGTAGCTGTTACCATTGTGGGCTATATGTTAATAATGTGAGGATCTCCTTTTAAAAGCCATGTTAAAAGATTTTGTGTTGTTGGATTAATCTGTCATTTACTTGGAAAATGCTTGCAGTCTGTTTTTTTGTATGTCAGTTAACATGTAGCCAGAGGAGGGAAGAGAAAAGCAATGGTGCTTCAGCCCTTGGAGAGTTTGCATCCTTAATCACTTAATCACTTAACTTTCCGTTAGTCAACGATTTGCTTGAGCAGGCGCCAGTAACGTTTCCATTTGTCCCTGTCGCGTGCTAGTATAGCCCAATGGCATCTGTTCGCTCTGGGAACATGAAGATCCTCAAACCAATCGTTCATGATCTTGATGAAGAAGTCTGACCATCTGGTAGGTGGGTGGCCACGTGGTCTTTTGACATCCCGTGGAATCCAGTCAGTAACAGCTCTAGTCCAGCGGTCGTCTTTAAATCTCATTACATGACCAGCCCATCTGATTTTTGACACCTTGGCAACCAAGAGAGCGTCCCTGATTCTTGATCATCGACGGATGTCGGAACTCCGGATTCTTTCTCTCATTTGAGTGAAACGTGATATTCCAAGCATAGCTCTTTCAATTCTTCTTTGGGAGACCTGAATAGCGTTTTCATCCTGTTTGCGTAGGGCCCAGGTCTCTGAGGCATATGTTAATGCAGGAAGAACAGTGGAATCAAAGAGATGTGCCCGGAGCCGGAGGTTCTTCGTCCTCTTAGTTATTTCTTCGACATTTTTGAAGGCATTCCAAGCCGCTCTCTTCCTCCTGCGCAGCTCGGGTGCCAGGTCATTTGTCATGTTGACTTCTCAACCTAGGTACACATAGCTGTTGCATTCGGAGATGGTCGTTCCATTGAGAGCGAATGGGGCATCAGGAACGAGGCTGTTTCTCATAAACATTGTCTTCGTAAGATTCAGCTGTAGTCCTACCTTTCCACACTCACGGTCAAAGTCGGCCAGCATTTGTGCCGCTTGGCTGATGTTTGGTGTTATTAAAACAATGTCATCAGCAAAGCGGAGGTGGTGTAGTTGCCGACCATCTATCTTCATTCCCATTCCTTCCCATTCCAGTTGTCGCATGATGTTCTCGAGGGTGGCGCTGAAGAGTTTCGGTGAAATGGTATCACCCTGCCGAACCCCTCTCTTGACATCAATGATTACTTCTTTGTAGAATGGTGAGATCCTGGTAGTGAATCTGCAATACAGCTCACGGAGGATCCTGATGTATTGGGCTTGAATGCCCTGATTGGCTAGGGCTTCAATGACCGCTTCCGTCTCAACAGAATCAAATGCCTTCTTTAAATCAATGAATGTTAAACAGTTTAACGTTCTTTGAACGTTTAGCGTTCAGTTTGCATCCTAGTGAAGGTAATTCTGAACAGTTGGTATAGGCAAGAAAGGAAGAGGTGACAGGTTCCTGTTTGTATAGAGGCAATTGAGACAGTGGTCCTGTGGTGCCAGGAATCACGTGGGCCAACCCATTTGTACTTGGGGCCCTTCCACAGTCACACATGTTAATGCTTAGAGATCTCTAGGGCTATTCCAGATGATGCTCAGGGGACCATATAATACCATAAATAAAACCTGGGTGAGAGCCATTCTTTTTTTTCTGGGTTTAATGATTTTTTTAATCACCATGAGATAGTTACAAAGCTTTCATGTTTGATTTTTAATCATTACAATGGTTGAACGCCCATCCCCCCCACCGGCACACATTTTCTACCACCAATGTCCCCACTAAACCTCCTTCCCACCACTCCCCTTACTTCTATGGCAGACAATTTCTACCATACTCTCTTTCTACTTTGGGACATTATGGTTTGCAATTACAAATACTGAGAGGCTATAATGTTTGGTCCATTATCTACTTTCAGCACACATCTCCCACCCTAAACAATTCCTCCAACCATCATTTACTTAGTGATCCCTTTTCTATTTCAGTTACCTTTTTCCGTAGCTCATGAGGCATACTTCCAATCACGGAACAATCTTACTGGCCCTCTCTCTACTATCCTTGGGTGTCAGTCTCATATTATGTTTTTTTATATTCCACAAATGAGTGCAGTCATTCTATGTCTGTCTCTCTTTTTCTGACTCATTTCACTTAGCATGATACTCTCCATGTCCATCCACTTAATAAGCAAATTTCATGACTTCATCTTTCCTAACAGCTTCATAGTATTCCATTGTGTCGATGTACCAGAGTTTCTTTAATCAGTCATCTGTTCTCAGGCACTTGGGTTGTTTCCAGATTCTGGCTATTGTGAACATTGCTGCAATGAACATACAGGTGCAGAGGGGATTTCTACTGTGATTTTTTTGCACTATCAGGATATATTCCCAGAAGTGGTATTGTGGGGTCATATGAAGTGGGTCCCATTCTTAACTGTTCTACTATCTCCCAGTCCCCAAAGACAATTTTATACTTTGGAGCTGCTGGGTCTAAAATCTTAGAAGTTCTTTGGCACATTTCTTTTCTTTCTAAATTTTGTTGGCTCTGTCTTCCAACCAGAGTAAAACACTTCGCTAGATTACTAAAATGATCTCCTACCACTCACCCTTCTGCTTCTTTGCTCCATAGATAATTCTCAACACAGGTACCAGAATGACCCTGTTAAAACATGAATTAGATCATGTCTTGTCTATACTTAACGTCCCCCTTCCCCCTTTAATTGTACAAAGTATATTTGAAATTATATATCACAGAAGCCACTGGAGTCAGAAGGAAACTGGAGTCAGAAGCACAGGAATAGGCAAGGTCACATCCTCGTTTCTCTTATGCCAAGCTCTGTGCTTAGTGCTGAGGGCACAGAGTTGAGGAACAGAAATGAGACTGTTAGAAGAACTTTGCATGTAAATATTTTTCCACTCACTAGTTATTAAGCTTGATTACATGCCAAATTGGGCTATGCACTTTTTTAGATTTTTGTTTTTTTGGTTTTGTGACACACCTGACAGAGCTCAGGGCTCATTTACTTCAAGCAACCCATATGACCTCTTGGAGGTGGTGGTGGGGAGGACATACATGATGCCATGTATCAAACCCAGGTCAGCCACATACAAGGCATACAGCATACCCACTATAATATTCTCTGTCCCTTGGGCTATGTACTGTGAACTGACAGATTTATAAGAATTTAGAATTTAATGGTCAAAATAAGATACTTGGTGTCACAGTAGAGACTACTGTGGACTCAAGAAGAGAGAGAGTGATCCCCACCAAATTTTAGAAAGTGGTTCATTATTGAGGCTGGTAGAGAGATAGGACAAAGTTCAAAGCTCTTGTCTTGCACATGGCTGACTCTGGTTCAATTTCTGGCATTATTTATGTTCCTCATAGCAACATCAGAATTGACTCCTAAGCACAGATCTAGGAGTATCCATGAGCACTATTGGGTGTGACCCAAACCTAATGCCATCCCCAAAGTTCACTCTTAGGGTGTCCCTTCCAGACATCAGGGACTCTAAGGCAACTATTAAAACTATTTCATTCTATTCTTTACAAATTGTGTTTGAGGAAATCTGGGGCTCTATAAACAGGGTACTTTTCTGTAAATATAAAAAAAATTCTTTTTAGTATGTTTTGAGGCCATACCAAGTGGATTCAGGGCTTACTTCTGGCTCTGCACTCAGGGATCACTCTTGTCAGTGTGGAGGACAATATGGGCGGTGTTGGGGATTGAACCTGGGTCAAACACATGCAAGGTAAATGCCCTGCCTGCTGTTTCATAGCTCTGCTTCTCCCCACCCAAATTTTGTTTTTTATATTTGTATTTAATAGGCTCTGATAGGCTGTAAGAAGTCACTCTAGAAAAGAAGGTTTGAATAAAGTTCTATGCACTTATTTCTGGTGGAATAATGATTCTAAAAGAATAGCCATCTTGGCCTGCATAGCCCATTACCACTTCTGTTTCTCAACATCTTACCCTTTGTCATCTAATATCTTAATCTCTAAGTCAATGTCTTGGCCTCTATGACTCTTCTCTTCCTTATTTGTCTGATGTATAAAGACAAGTGCTGGTGAATAGGGAGTTTAGATTCATATGGGAACCAGGGTTCAAGCCCTCATACCACACGCTCCCCCAAGCCCCATTGGAGTGTCAAATGCAGGTTCTCCCCTGAGCACACATGGTACCTGCTAGGCCACTGATTTCAGATTTTTCAGATCCACAATTAAGCGGTTGTTCTCCCTCTACAGCAGTTATAAAAGTGCTAATTTTTCAGTGTAATTCATTTCTCTAGGAGGAAACATTTAGCATTTGGCATATTACATTCTTAAAAAATCAGAATGAGGGGCCAAACGTTCTATGTGGCAGTATATGTCCACTGGTCCTTTCATTTTTGGTGAAGACAAAATGCTTCCTGTATTGCAACGTACTTCAGGAAGCTGCAGAGAACAAAAACAAAGCTCATGCCCAGAGTGGATGGGTTCCATAGAAACATTTGAGCACAAATTACACAGGAGGAAACTTTGGTCTATATTAAATATATTATTAACTCTCCATGTATCTTAGAGGGTTTGATTTAGACCAGTAATAATATGTTTGTCTGTTTTTGTCTTCAGAGAGTAAATACTGAACAGAGGCAGCTCTTGAAACAAATATGTCAGCTAATAAGGCAGGGAATTTCATCCATGACTGTGCTCCCCAAGCCCATTATCATTCACACCGAGTGCGCTGTTAGTAATCTTTGGCAGCGGTTGAGATTGGGCCACAATTTCACCAAACATAATATCAGCTCTCTGCAAGGGGGAGAAGTGCAGCATGGGCCAATGGATTCTTTGTTGTTCTTCCTGTCCAGAGTGGAGAGTCTCCGCTTAGCCCATCTGCAGTTTCTCACAGTGATAGTGCTTCATCTACGCAGTCACTGTCTCATGGAGGAGTGCCAGAGCTGTTGGTGGGGCTGTCCTACAATGCCACAACGGGTCGATTATCTGTGGAAATGATCAAAGGCAGCCATTTCCGAAACCTCGCTGTTAACAGAGCGCCTGGTAAGTGTGAATCTCTTCTCCCAGCTCTTGCTCATCTTTCCAGCAGCAAGTGGAAAAGACGGTCTACTTTTTTCCTAATTCTTTAGCCTTTACAGTAAGAATGATCTTTGTCTGGCTTAAACAAGCTTTGACAAGATGATACCTCTGTTTTTTTTTAATGCCTTTCTATTTAATTAGATAAAAGGCTTCTTAGGTATCTAGAAGGAGCATGGAATGAAATAGGCTGGACTCTGAATGTTGTTTCAGAGAAGGAAAATACATGAATGAAAAATATGTAATATGATGTATTTTCAGTAACATAATGAGTAAGGGCAATTAAACTTTGTCAATAGGTTCCAGGCCCTCAAATACCTTTTAAATTTAGGGGTATAACTCAGGACTTGGAGTATAGCAAATGTGGGATTGAATTTTAACTTTACCTGCTTACCTTCTAGCTTTGTCCTGATTCTGTGTAACTTATTTTTCCTTTTTTTTTGAATTTCAGTAGTTTCATCTGGGTATTAACATATCATCATTTTCCTCATCAGTTGTTTTGGAATTTATGCAAAATGATTTATGGAAAGCCTTTAGCCCAGTGCCTAGCATATTATGAACATACAAGAAAAGTTAGTGGGTGTGTTGATGGAAGAAGAGGTAGGGCACTGCAACATGGGAAAAATTAGATAATGATTTTACACAATAGCTACAACTTCTGAAATCACCACTGTTAAAGGGGGCTGAAGACATATTCCTAGGTTACAGGAAGCCAGAATAAAAATGCTATTGCCATTAACGAGCAATACCAAGAAACTGAAGACTGAACACTGGAAAGATCAGCTCCTAAATAAACTCAACTTCTGATTAACTTGCTTGTCAGTACAATTAGTTTTGCAAAAGGTAGGAAGACAGTTTCTGCCTTAATTTAATTTCTGAATCTTATGCTATTTAATCACACCTAGATCATTTGTGTTGAGAATTCTAGCTGCAAGAGAGTCTGAAATCTATTTTCAGCTTTCCAGTAGAAGAAAGTAAAGGGAATAGAATGAAGGGAAAGTCAGCCAGTTCACCAAATACACAAAAGTAGTACTTAAAGTTGAAAGCAATAACAGTGTCTTATATTGCAAGAATTAATGGACTCTGGGCTTACATATAAGCATCAATGGAAAAGTCAGCCAAGCTTTAGAAAAAGAAAGATCAGCTCCAACAACTAAATCTGGGCTCTCATTCCTTTTAGCCTTTAACTGTGCTGCAGTCCACAAAGTCTCTGTTCAACGGCATCTTGTTAGTCAATCTGTATTAAAGCCATTAGCGCAAGTTAGTAAGGAAAGCCCAGCAATCTGGATAACAGAAGAGACCAGGTGCATAAGCCATATTCTGTGTCGACGCTCAGAGCCAGGTGAGAGCTATTTAAATACATACAGATACTGATTATGTATTGCTTGGCTAGGTTTTTTTTCTTTTTGCTATATAAGCTTTGTTTAAAAAAAAAAGTACCCCTGAATTTATAAAAGATCTAGATTTACTTTTCCATTTCTGGTTCTCTAAACAATATTTTTGATAAACATGGAGCTGCGTAGGATAATGGGGAAGTACATCACACAATCATGGCCTATCCCAGTTCATGCCATGAAATTTTAATTTATGTGCTGCGTAGACCAGAAAATACAAGGGTGAGGGACAGTATGATGGCTGAGAAAGCATTAACTAGAGAGACATTATCTCTTACTAGCGGTGAGTCACTAACATTTTATAAATCTGCTTCCTCATTTGTAAAAAGGGATCATAATAATATTTACTTTCTAGGTAGATATGCTCACATGAATCTGTGATGTGAAGGATAGTACTATGATACCCTCAACACTTATATATGAAAGAAATATGCTGGAGAGGAAGTTCTTCTAACAGCCATTGAAAACTGAATAGGAAAAAGACAAATCCTAATTTGATAATTGATTTTATTCCAGAAGTTTGCCAATTTGGCATTTACTCCATGAGTTTTCATAGACTTAGTTTGAAATTTAACTTGGAATATAACTGACATGCATATCCTTGCAACCAGAGTAATAGAAGACAATATTCCTGTAATACTACTATTAATTAAAACAGAAACCAAACAGTGAAAACAAAAGTTTTTTGTTTATGTAGAATGCTGGTACTTGAAGAAAAGCCAGTTTAATTAGGAGGAGTTGAGCAAGGTTTCTTTGTGGAGATTCTGAAAGGGACCTCTTGATACTTTCAAGGGTTTTAGATGTTGATGGTGTTAGTTCTTCATTATGTCTTACTTCATCATGGCACTAGCATTACTTTGACAGTCATTAGTAAAGCTTAGGATATATTTTTAGTTCTCATAAGGAAGAGAACAAGAGAGAAAGGATGAGGGAACAAGAGTCTTATGAGGTCACTGAACAGAAATTGGGAAAAAAATAGTGGAGTGAATGGGGCCCGGAGTGGGAAATGTAGAAGGGATCTTGCCAAGTGCACGGGTTCCATGGGGGCGGTGAAAGGAAGATAGGAGACTATCCTAAGAGTCCTGCTTTACAATCCACCCAGAGAGAACTGCCTAGGGGAATTAGGGGAGAAGCAGGAACATATATGTTCAAGGATCACAAATTCCATTCTTCAGATTGTTTGCTTATATAGTTATCACCTCTACAAAGAGGGTTTTTAATCCTGCCTTACAGCATAGTTATGAAAATGTGAAATGGTTCTTAGGCAGATGGGAAATTGCCTAAGAATCGCCAAAAGTGGTTAAGACTGAGTACTGGGGACTTCTCTAGTATATGGAAGGATCTATTGGAAGAAGACTGACTGAAAGGCCATGATTTGCAAGTGATAATCTCATCTCAAAATATTTCATAAAACAAAAGATAGCTTTGAATTTAATAACTTAATCGAGTCAAATAACTCACTCTATTTTAAACCTTTCTTCTTATGCACAATAGTAGAATCGAACTAATAATTGAAGTGCCTCTTACTATTAGGATCTTAGAAGAAATGTAATTGAAGTGCAAAAATGCCCTCCAAGAAACATTTTAAGTATATTCTTCTAGAGATGCTATAGTAGAGGCAGGGTTTGCTGAGATCCTCAGCAGCTGGAACAAGCATTCAGCAGTACCACTTCCCACAAAATGGCTAAGCCTAGAAAAGGCTGATTTCACCAAGCATTAGCAAGGTTGTGCAGAGTATACTTTTGTAGAAATATAAAATGGGACAAACTTTTCCGAAAAGTTCTGGCAGTTTTATACAACTAAATGCACACAATCCTATAGTTCTGTGCTTAAATTTGGTATATTATCAATGGATAACATTGATATATTTTAAGTTTAAGATAAAGTATTTGATAGTTGCATATATACAAATCAAAAAAGTGATAATCATAGTATTTTTAGTTAAGTTCAGCCATAGTTCCATGATTATAATTTTTTTCCTTAAAGTAAGTATTTTTTATTTTGGCTTATATATTTTTAATATTTTTATTTGAAGTACCATGGTTTAAAATACAATTAATTGTACAGTTTTATGCATATATTGCTCTTACACCACAATCACAACTAGAGAGTCTATTCCTTTCCATCCCTGCCCCAGGGACCACCCTCCTATCTACTCAGACCCCAACACTCAGGTGAGATCAGTTCTGTAGGCCAACTCCCCAGTTATGTTGCCTTTGGTCATTGTTGCCCCCTTACTATTTTTCTTTATATCCTAAATATGAGAGATTATTCTATATCAGTCCCTGTCCTTACTGATTTCACATAGCATAATAATTTCCAGTTCCAACCATGTAGTGGCAAATTGTATAACTTGGGTTCTGATAGTATAGTAGTATTCCATTTTATATCACTGTTACTGTCCTCCCATTGTTCATGGATTTGCTCGAGCAGGCCCAGTAATATTGTGAGACTTCTTGTTACTGTGTTTGGCATATCAAATATGTTGTGAGTAGCTTGCCAGGCTTTACCATGCAGGTGAGTACTCTCGGTAGCTTGTTGGGCTCTCCAAGAGGGACAGAGGACTTGAACCTGGGCCAACCGGGTCAGCTGCGTGCAACGCAAATGCCCTACCTATTGTGCTATGTACCATTAATTCTTGTGTAGTCATTGGTTCTGGGACATAAGTTGTTTCTTGATCTTAGCTATTGCGAACTATGCAGCAATGAATATAGGAGTGCAAATATCTTCCTTGAATAGTGTTTTGGACCCTTGGGGTAGATGCCAAGAATAATTGCTGAATCATATACGAGATCAATTCTTAGTTTTTTTGAGAAGTAGTCATATTATTTTTCAAAGAGGTTTAAAATACTCAATATTCACACCAGCAGGGGAAAAGGATCCTTTACCCCACAACATCTTCCCAGTAGTGGCTATTTTGTGCTTGAAGTGTGCCCGTCTCACTGGGTGAGGTGAGACATTTTTATTGTCCTGATCTGAATATAGTTGATGATAAATGATAGCATCTTTTTCTTTTAAAACATTTTATTTTAGTAAATATGGTTCACAATACTGTAATGATAGGGTTTTATGCATAACATAACTCCTTACCACACCCTCTTCTAGACTTACCACTTTCCTCCACCACTGTCCCAGTGTTCTCACTCCATTTTAATTCCTCCACTTCCCTCCCCTGTGATGGCTTCCTATTGATGAAAAGTTCTCAGATTCTGTTGCCTTTGGAATTAGTTGTATCCCTATTATGTTTCTTTATATTCCACATGTAAGAGAGATCATTCTGTGTCTGTCCATCTCCAACTGATTAACTTCGCTCAGTATAATACTCTTCAGATCCATTCATTTAACAGTAAATTTCATCTTATCTTTTCTTATAAGTGAGTAGTATACCATTGTGTTTATATGCCATAGTTTCTTTATCCAGACATCTGTTTTTGGACATTTGGGTTGTTTCCAGATATTGGCTATTGTTAACAATGCTGCAAGGGAGATAGGATGCAAATGTCTTGTCCGAATTAAGGGGTTTGGTGTATTTTTTTTTTTTTTTGCTATTAGTGTAGATGTCAAGAAGTATGGTTGCTGAATCTTATGGGCATTCAATTTCTTCTTCTGTGTTTAAAGGATTATTCATATTATTTTTCAAAAATACTGGATCAGTAAACATTTCCAACAGTGGTAAATGAAAGTCTCTTTTACCCCACATACCCACATTTTCCCCATGTAAAAATACAATGAGTATTTTTAAAAAATTATTTAAGTACAGTGATTTACAAAAGTGTTAATAATCGTTTGCAGGCATAAAATATTTGAACACAGAACCCACCACCAGGGACTCTCCAACAATGTACCAAGATTCCCTTTGACCTCCACTTTATTTCCATAGAAAACTCATTTAAAATTTTAATTATTATCATTTGGGTTTAATAGTGTTAACTCTTACAGGTTTTTTTTGGACATAGTTTTGTCACCTCTTATACTACTAAGGTATCTAAGATCCTTAACCAAATCTCTTCTGTTTTGGAATTTGTTACAAATCTCATATTAGCACTGCACTGTCGTCCCATTGTTCATCAATTTGCTCAAGCGGGCCAGTAATGTCTCCACTGTGAGACTTGTTCCTGTGTTTGGCATATTGAATACGTCATGGGTAGCTTGTCAGGCTTTGCCATGCAGGCAACACACTCTCAGTAGTTTGCCGGGTTCTCCAAGAGGGGTGGAGGAATTGAACTGGGGTTGGCCAGGCAGGCTGCGTGCAAGGCAAACGCCCTACTGCTGTGCTATCGCTCCAGCCCATGAATCTCATATTATAAAATGAAAATAAAAGGTAAAGGTAAAGGCCCTCCCGTTGTTCATCGATTTGCTCGAGCGGGCTCAGTAATGTCTCCATTGGAGATTTTGTTGTTACTGTGTTTGACATATCGAATACATCATGGGTTGCTTGCCAGGCTCTGCCGTGTGGGGAGATACTCTCGGTAGCTTGCCGGGCTCTCCGAGAGGGGCGGAGGAATTGAACTCGGGTGCCGGGCATGGTGGCGCACGCCTGTAGTCCCAGCTACTCAGGAGGCTGAGGCTGGAGGATCGCTTGAGTCCAGGAGTTCTGGGCTGTAGTGCGCTATGCTGATTGGGTGTCCGCACTAAGTTTGGCATCAATATGGTGACCCTCCAGGAGCAGAGGACCACCAGGTTGCCTAAGGAGGGGTGAACCGGCCCAGGTCGGAAATGGAGCAGGTCAAAATGAAAATGTTCATCTTATTATTTCATCCAACTACCCCTTCCCTTACTTGACATTCTTACTTCTGTAATGGAGGGTGAAAGGCTTTCCACCCTTTGATGTCTTCCATTCTTTTGTCTAGTTATAATGCATAATATGTAATATAATAATATAATACATAATATAATACATAATACAGATAAGTGAGAACATTCAGTATTTTTCCTCTCTCTGATTTTT